GAATGCGTTGCAGACGCAGACGAATCAGGGTGCATTGCTAGCTGCCCTGCGCAATCGGAAAGGTACCCCGATTCGTCTGTGAACCACAACTGACACGACTGTCGACCATAGGGTGAGCGATTCTTGGAGACCGAGCTAAAACTCTAGATCAATGCCTGAGAGGTACCTATTTTCAAAATTGTCTATTCCCTCAGCCCCAACCATGGTGGGGGCCATGAGGTAGACGCTCACGCACCCCTTACCGCCAAATCCTGCATCCGCCTCAGGGTGTCTAAGAGAGGAGGAGCTACGAGGGAGCATAACTGCCGTCGGGAGGAAGTCAATAATTTTGTCGAGAAACACTGCTTTGAAAAAGCATTTTTACCATCCGAGAGTGCCATTTCCGAATGTCTAGAGAGAAGAGTATGTTTTGTACTCTCGTGAAAATGATGGGGGGGGGGGGAAGAGTATTTTTTGTACTCTCGTGAAAATGATGAAAATAATGGATGACCCCTTAGCAACCAATGCATATTTTCTCTAAATGTTAACTTTGACTTTCTTTGGGTTTCAGAGGAACATGTCACAAATAACTTTAAATATATACCATTATTATTATTCTATTAAAATGTTCCTTAAATGAACAAAGCTGAAATAAAGATTACCTAAGATTTATCTTTTTCTACTTTATATTTTTTTCATCTTCTTTCTATCTATATAAATTGATTCACGATCAAGATTATGTTCATTTTTTTTTTTGCCCCAGTCTTTCCTAAAGAATCGAGGAGCTCTAGTGCTTGGTAGAAAGGCAATCCTTGAAAGAGTTGAGAAATATGTCACAGATATCGGCGTCAACAATTCACTGGTTATACTGGGAGGGGCTGGGACTGGCAAATCATCCCTAATGGCCAAGACGGCAGACGTTAGCCAGCAAATGGCCATGGCAAAGCAAATCCCAGGGTAAGATAATTACCTAAAACTATTACTAAGGATACTAGAGTGTGCATTCAATTGTTCTCAATCATTGTTTCATTGATGTTCTCTTTGGTTTTGCTATGCTAATCTCTGTTATAGAATGATACTGATAGGGTGCCCTCTATTGTTTGATTGTTGTGCAAAACAGTTTTTGTATCTTTTTTGGCAGAGGAGGTGACAGTGGTTGGCATATATTTTATCATTTTGTTGGTGCAGTACCTGGCTCGACAGATCTTGAGAAAGCTTTGAAACGACTGTTAAAAGAGTTGGGTGCAGTCAATGTAAGTCAACAAATGTCCTTTAAGAAATGTTTTTTTCTTTTTTGTGATAAAATACATCCAATTTTAACTTTTTTACATATTGCACAGATTAGCAAAGAACGTTAATAGTACGGATATATACTGTAATAATATCCATAGTATGTCTGCTATTTTTACACTTCAGGAAGCTACGATGCCTAAGAATCTAGAGACAACTTGTCAGATGACGTGCAGTGTTCTGTCCAACACCAAAACACCTCCAGTGCTGGTCATCATTGATGCTCTCAATCAGGTACAAGCCATGAACACTTAAAGGTGTTTACATTGTTGAGAAAAACATTGACCCATCATCATTTTAATCCAATATTTACTGCCTACTGTTTGTTTACCTACGAGGTTAGCTTATGGGCTGCTGGTACTGTATTATTCCCTTGGACTTTCTATTTCTTGATAATTTTCAAGTGATGGTGATTTAATTCTTTATCCCTTGTAGTTTGATGACGACAAGTCAGGAACCGTCCTACGTTGGCTGCCGAGATGCCTGGCGCCTCAAGTACGTGTTATCATCTCAATGATAAATGACACCCCACCACACAAAATGCTGCTAGAGAGATCAATTAAACCTGAAGAAATATTAGTCACACCACTTGATATGGAAGCAAGAAAAGCAAGTCATTATTTCTACAAATATTTTAGTGTTTCTTACTTAATTATTTAATGGATGTGTATAGTAATGTAAGTACTTATATAGTGCGTAAGCTGGAGCGGATGCAGGATTTGGCGGTAAGGGGTACTTGAGAGTCCTCACAACCTCACTGAGGAGCGAACATTTTGAGAACTTGGACCTCTAGGTGGCCGAAAATTGCACTATTTTACCTTAAAAATCGTAGAAGTTCTATTTCATATCAACAATATAATACAGAAATATTTCTTAATACAATTTTTGGGAGGTGCAATTGCATCGTTGTACCCCCTGCATTCGCCCCAGATAAGGCAGAATTGTAAAAAGTACCATTTGTTCAAACATATAGCTCTTTGATGAAGCATTCAATAAAACTGTGCACACACTGTACCTACAATCATTGACCAATGCCATTTAATGGAGAACATGATGAGGCACACGCAACAAATCGTTTTTAACGACAATCTGCTCAGGCTGTAACAGAGTGTCGATCAAACTTAACAACTGGCCAATCAGAAAATGGGGAAAATAAAACATGGCATCATGTGTTGATATATAAAGTTTAGTTTAGTGCAGTTAAATAGATTTAGAAAATTTTGACATTCCACATGTTTTGGCCGTTATGTCCGAAACACGGTTTGCGAGGAGTGATTGGTTTGGGTTGTCTTCGCCTCATGTAAAGATATATGATTACAAATATTTATTTTGATCCTGTTCTTAATTTGTAGGAGATTGTTACTGAGATGCTTGGCAAATACAACAAACGTCTTGATGAAAACCAGATCAGCAGTTTGTTATCCAAAGAGTCTTCCCAGAATCCTCTCTGGCTTGCTGTGGCATGCGAGGAACTGAGGGTATTTGGCTTTTTTGAGAGGGTTACAGACAAGATAAACAGCATGAAAGATGGTCTATTAGAGTAAGTGTGTGTAGTTGTATTGGTAGTGTTATTATAAGAGTGATGTTTTACCCTATCTGACGTGTTATGTACCAAATACTCAGTACGTTCCCAAATACAAGCGGAAAAAATTGCAAGGAATTCGGGTGGGAATCGAACCCATGACCTCAAGATAACTAGCCTGGCACCTTAACCACTAGACTACCGAGCTTGTGCTTATTTACTGGTGTTGAATGCAAATGCTATTTCGATGCGAGTTTGCATCAGGAAAATATCATAGGAGTGATGTTTTTGCCCTACCTGGCGCATTATAATTATAACATTTCTTTTTCTTAACCAGGTTATTGGAGCAAGTGTTTGAACGTTTTGAAGAAGAAAATGGTGGGCAGCTTTTGGTAGCAACTTTATGTTTATTGGAGACGTCAGCCACAGGTCTGTTGGAAACAGAATTATTGCAAATTCTTGGAGACGAAGATAACTTGAAACCACAGGAAAAAGAAGGCAAAGACAAAGGTTCATTAAAATTTTATTTCCTCATTCTTGTATAATGTATGGTAGGAATAACATTGCATAAAAGTAATAAAGAAGACAACCGACTCAGAATTTACAGTTTTCATTTTAATTATGTAAAGTACCAAAAATAGTGTTTGCTAAGCCCCGCCTCTTAGCTGTTGTTCCTAAGGTCCTACTCCTGGTCCTGCTGTGATTGGTCAGTTGTCCAGTTTGATTGACACCCCAGAAAGGTTTATTACAAATTTAATAATTTTTTCTTGTAGATGGTGGAAGGGAGAAGAAGAGTAAGGATATAGGTCCGCTACCTGCTGCTAAATGGGCTGTGGTGTTCCGAGCATTAAAACCATTCCTGCGTCCTTTTGGCGATAGTGGAGAAGGTCGTTTGGATTTCTACCACAGGGCACTCAGTAAAGCTGTCAGGAAGAAGTTAGTTTCATTTCTATATTTATCTCTCGTAAATACCAAAAAAAAGTGGGGTTCGATACCCAGTCTAGCCACTGGGTTTTGTCTTTTGTAATGTTGCAGCCAATAATCACCACATTATGGAATTCCCACCCCAACACATATGTGTACCAATTCCCTGGGTAATAATGCAAAGTAACTACAAATAGAATCCTTGGTAATACAAGACCAGCTTTGATATTTTTACATAGGTAATTCGAAAAAATAAAGATTAGTAATTTTTTTTTATATCATTTTATGATTTAGTCATTTTATTACTACTATTATTAGTGGTAGTATTAGTAGTATTATTAGTTTCTTCTAAAGTAGTTTTTGTCTTTCTAGGTACTTTGATGTTAACACAACTGGGGTAGTGGACCAGCTATGGTGGCACACCAAACTAGCAGACTTCTTTGAGCAAACAGACAACATTGATCGCAAAGTTGAAGTAAGTGTCCACAACTTTGTAGGGAAACCATAGCTGTTTCTACCTATCAATCTATAATCATTTATACCGTGCGATTTCCGACGGACCATTTCGGTATCTTTATTGACATCAAAAATGTACATTAAATAGCTCATTGCTTATCAAGTTGTTTAATATGAGTAAAATAAAGTTTATAAGTAAAACAGTTACTATAATATTTAGATCAAAAAATTATCAGAGTGAATGTACAAAAAGAGAAAAGTTACTTTTTTAAAAATTATAGTCAACATCAAACTGTGAAATTAAAGTACAAGGTAGCAAATTGTACTCAATTAGATCAAGAATTACATATTACATCATATGTGGGCCCTGGTAGTTATTACATACTCAATTATGACACAGTTACCAAATAATGTGGTGTTTTTTTTTTTCTCTATTTTTTGCCCTTAGGAATTGCCAATACATTTGCTGAAAATTAACAACCCTGATAAACTGAAGGATTTCTTGATGGACTGGAAAATATTCGACAAGTTGTACAATGAAGAATATAGTACTTTGCTTTTACGATATTGGAGAGAGGTAAATTTTTCTTTTGTTTAATTATACAGTTTCATATTGAATTTTTGTATCATTATGTGTAACAAAACTTATAATTCTTGTATGTTGTTAGAATTTTGATAGATTGTATGTAAATAATTAATGGACATACAGTTAAAGCATCAGCATTAATAGTTTCAGACCCAACAACTTAATTAATTATAAATTTTCTCAAAATGATAACTTGAAAATGTGTAAATTGGAACATGTCCAAATGTTGTGAGTTTATTAGCATAAACTAAAATTGGTGAAATTTGTATTTTGAACATTGTTTATCTCTGTAAAGGCGATTAAAGAATAAGGATGAATATGCAGGTGTTGGCTTGTACATGTGGCATAATATGAGATTGTTTTTGTTCTTAAAAGGGTTGTGGTAAAACATGGCAAACACAGATGGAGAATCGCTACCAAAGCCAGCTTGACCAGATAGATAAGAGTGATGACCCAGATTTACAACTATTGGCCAGGAGATACGAACAGGTTGCCAGGGTTGTGTGAGTTTTTTCCCAATTCCTCTGAATTTTGTATAAAAATAAAGCATTATAAAGAATTTCACTATGAAAAATTTAGTAATAATAATGTAATCGCCCCACATATTCAGGCAGCACACAAGAAAACAATGTGCCTGAATGCCACAGGCAATTCCATTATTTAAGTTAGGGTATTCTGCATCAATCAAGAAAAAAATGTGCCTGAATACAACAGGCAATTCCATTATTTAAGTTAGGGTATTCTGCATCAATCAAGAAAACAATGTGCTTGAATAGAATGGGCAATGCCATTATATTTTTAGGGTATTCTGCAGCACTCAAGGAAACAATGTGTCTGAATATATTTCAGAATTATTTCTCAACAACTATATAAACTACTTCACTCTTAAAGTCTCATAATTATACGGAACTTTCAGAGCATTACCTTCTTTATTTCATCCTATTTTGTGAGATAAGAATTAAATAAAATGATGCTGGTAGTAAAGTTAACATGGCTAGGAAACATAAACAGCAAATTTTACTGAAGGGTCTATACATAATTTAGCTGAAGACAGCACAGGCTAGTAGTTAAAAGTAAAATGCACTATATCAGAAGATGAAAAGCATTAAGATGATTTAATAAAGATGGTGATGATGGTGGGGGTGGAATTTATACATGAAAGTAATCTGTTGGTAATTTCAATGATAGTGATAATATTATATTTATAAATTACACCATACACATGCTTCTATGCACTGTAAATATACTGTATTAATAATTTTTTTAAAAGAGAGCCAATGATGGTGGCAAGGAAGTGTCTTGCAGTCAGGGGTTTAGCCAGAAAAACGAAATAGGCCATCCAAAATGGAAGCCAGTGGGCATGGCACTGAGTCAATGGGCGGGCCGCCACGCCCATCTTTGGGAATCCCCGCCGAATATTGGTGCGAAAACAACGTACATTCAATCAATAAATGTTGTTTTTATCAAATGTAAATATAATTTAGCTTTAGTTTAATGTAACATTTGATAGATTTGAAGAATATAAAGAATTTGCTAAAGGTATAACTGGCCCAATTAGGCTAGGCCGAGATGATTAGGACAAGCCATCCAAGCCGCCATGGTAAAAGTGGCCGTCCTAAATAATTGTAGGCCGTTTAAAAGACGACCGGACGGCTCGCTGGCTAAGCCTAAGCTTGCAGTTGAATAACATTTTTTTAGTGTATTCACTTCATTAAATAGTATCGTTAGATGGAAATATAATTTTTTTTTATGTGTCCTTTTGCAGTAATCAATCTGGTGAAAATATGAAATCGTTAGCATTGCTGGAAAAAGCCATGAAGATCGAGCAGGATCATCTGAACAGTAGGCCAGAACGTATGGTGGAGCTATACCACCTTGCAGCTACTATCTACGATGATGTGAGTATTCAATTGTTTAGAAGTCTCAACACTTTTTCGAAGAACAAAATAACAATCTTCAATCATTTAACGCAAAGCTAACCATGAGGCCACCCAAATTGGAGAGCAAACTGTAGTTTACTTGCAAATGGCAATTTGGGCCTGTCAATGCAGGTTAGGGGTGAATTCAGTAAATTTGTTGACCGGGGTTTCAATAAATCCAATTGAAAGTCCGAATGAGGGGCGGGGCGACAAGAGCCTTGATCAGGTTTTCATAATAAAATCCTTGGTAGGGAGTCAAGGGAAGAGATTTAATGGTTACAATGAATTCTGCTGAACACAATATCTTGGTTTGGATCAGTACAGTAATATTTTTAGACCAAAAACCTAGGAATCAGACTATGAGAATTCATGCATATCCGACAAAGAAAATTTCCCCTGAATCTAAAACCAAGCCCCTAAAAATTTTATAGAGCATTTTATCATACACATGGACATAATGCATCTTTAACAAATGGCTTAATTAAACACCTCTTTGGAAAGGCTGCACTCTGAAATACTTTAGAAGCATTGATGCAATGAAGTTTCCAAAGATCTGTATGGTTCAGCGCACACACATAATATTTATTATATATTCCCAGTTTACCATTGTATGGTCTGTCTCATGATGGCTTTCATGTATTGTGAAAAAAAATCTAAATTCAGTAATTCTTGTAATTTTATCGCAAGATGCATTGAAGTTCAAAGGGTAAATGCAGAATAATTTTGACCCCTGAAACTGAATAATAATAGGGTTCCTGTTGTTACATTTTTTTTATTCTGTTTTTGTTCTTAGAAACTTAAGCTTTATGAGTACATTGACCCCAGTCAACTGAGGGAATTAAGACCTCTCATAGACTTTGCTAGAAAGTCTATAGCTATAAGAGAGACTCTGGAAGGTGAAATTCATAAGGTCAGTATAGTCTAACTGAAGTCAAACTTAATATTTGTTTAAAAAAATAACTTATTTATTCAAGATTCAAGAAATTTTATTGGTAAATATAAAAATACAGAAAATTGTATTGCTTGGCAGATGTATATAAAAAAAATATAAATACAGTACAATGCCAATAATTCACAAGAAGAAGACAAGATCGGTACATAAAAAACATACAAATGACAATGAAAATTTTTTTTAAATTATATTGTTTACAAATTGTAATTTTCAGTTGCTCAGTTTAAATATTTTTATGCTACCATTTGTAAATTACAATTAACAATACCGTATTTATATGTTTGTTTAATTACAAAACAATTTCAGGTTACTCTATGTATTTTCATGTGAGAGCAAATTCAAGTAATAACACCTGTTTTAAACTATTGTTGAAATTTAAAAAAATTAATTCTTATATTAATTAGTATAAACTTGGCAAGACTCTGGTGCAGATGGCATTTAACCTGGAGAGTTGGCTAGAGTGTGGAGGGGACAACAGCATGTCTGGGGAGGAAGCAATTGAAGAGGGGCAGGCCTGCATTGACAAAGCCATACAAATATTCAAAGATGTATGTATCTAAAATCCCACTTTATTTTTTAAAAATAATTTATAGACTTCTTTTAAATTTTTTTATTATTTTTAATAATTGATCTATTTTTAATTTAATGTATTAATTATCTTAAATCCATTTCCTTGAGTTACTGTATGTTGTTTTATATCTTGCATAGACTTTTTATATTTTTAATAATTAAGAATTGTGGCCTAGTTTGTCTTTTTATAAATTTTTCTATTTGATAAAATATTGTTTTATACTGATTTCGATCAGTCATCGCCATATTTTGGGCTTTCCTTGTAGCGGATCCAGGAATTAAAAATTTAGGGACTTTCAGGGATGAAGGTTGGGGGCCGAGGTAAGAAAAATTACGATTATGGCACCTCTAACGGCTGGAAATGGCATTGTCAGACTTATATTTGAATATCATTTTTTTTTTGTTTCGCCATATTTTTTATTCGCCACTGCTTCACCCTATTAAAAAGCAAACCCTGCTCAAATGAAAGTGAAGGCTGTAAAGAAAATATAGCCGTAAGTTCGAAGTTCATTAGTATATTGAAGTAATTCTAATAAGTATGCTTCTTTTCGGTTTCTGATCAGCTTTGTGATGATGGGCATCTTGCAGATGCTATTATGACAGCAGGAATTCTACTAGAAAGGGCAAGTGACGAACAACTGGAGGTATGAAATGCAGCAAACATACTCTACATCATTCTATCTGAAACAATTACTAAATGATTTGTGATTAAAACATAATGATAGTGATGCCAACAGTAATAACAAGAGTGGTCACACTCCATCACCACCCTGGCCCTGCATACTGAATAATAAAGGGAAAAAACAAAAATAAATTGACCTTTTGTGACCTTGACCTTTGATCCCATATGTGTATCACTCTAATTTTTTGATGATTCATGCATTTGTTTATGCATAGTCCTGCTAAATTAGACAGTCAGATAAACAGCGGTGAATGCATAACCTAGACGACGGTAATACAGTATATATGATATTAAAATGATAATGATATTAATACTAATAGTAATAGTAATAATAATAGTACTAGAGTATTTGTAATTTTACCTAATGGTACAGAATCACTGAAAGTATTATTGATACCAGCTACACCAATTACATCTTTGCATAATTTGAGGCTACCCAGAATATCTTGCATCTTCCCAACATTTTCTTTATAGAAATACATGGAAGCCTTGGAACTCTGCCTTCAAGCATATGGTGAGAATAGCGTACTCACATCCAGACTCTACCTCAACATTGGCATCCTACACGAGGACAATCGACGCTACTTTGAGGCATATGATTGGTTCATCAAGTGGCAGAAAGTTAGCGAAGAAGTGAGTACAATTAAGTTTATTGACATCTCTATTCAAACTACAGTATGCATTAAGAGGTAGGGACATTACTCCACTAAGGTCGTAATGACCCACATACCCCACTCTAGCTAAACAATGCATACAGGGATAGGGACGTTACTCCACTAAGGTCCTACTTGCCTGCATACCCCACTCTAATGAAAACTGTGCTCCAGAGGTAGAGACATCACTTCACTAAGGTCCTAAGGACTCGCATATCCCACTCTAATTAAACTATGCATCCTGGGGTAGAGACATTACTCTGCTATGGTCTTAATGAGCAGCATACCCCACCTTAATTAAACTATGCATCCAGGGTTAGGAACGTTACTCCACTAAGGTCCTAATGAACCGCAAACCCCACTCTATTTAAACTATGCATCCAGGGGTAGGGACGTTACTCCACTAAGGTCCTAACGACCCGCAAACCCCACTCTATTTAAACTATGCATCCAGGGGTAGGGACGTTACTCCACTAAGGTCCTAATGACCCGCATACCCCACTCTATTTAAACTATGCATCCAGGGATAGGGACATTACTCCACTAAGGTCCTAACGACCCGCAAACCCCACTCTAATTAAACTATGCATCCTGGGGTAGAGACATTACTCTGCTATGGTCTTAATGAGCTGCATACCCCACCATAATTAAACTATGCATCCAGGGGTAGGGACGTTACTCTACTAAGGTCCTAATGACCCGCATACCCCACTCTATTTAAACTATGCATCCAGGGGTAGGGACGTTACTCCACTGTCCTATTGACCCTCACATCACAGCCTAAATTAGAAATTTCAGTGGATATTCTTATTTATCTATTATTATGGCATTGTAATGTTTCCCTCAGGTGTTTGGTTACCATCATCCACGTACTCAACGTTGCCGTAATTGCTTAGCCGAGTCTCGTTACGTGTATGTCAAGAGAGAACTTGAACGTCGTAGTAAGATCGGCGATTCAAACAACCCACCACCTGACAATAACATTGAGAGTGGGGACGAGAGTGAAGAAGAGGGTGATGAGTGATCAGTTTACAAGGGATTCAGTTACAGGTAGTTTATCCAAATTAAAATATTTCAGGTCTCCTTCTTGGATAAGCTAAATGCTGGATAAAACAATAGCTGCAGATGTTTCTGGACTTGGGTATTTTAATAGGTCCGCCCAAAGAGTATATAGAACAAGAGAGTGTATTCCTCTTCGTTAAAACGTCACTCCCCTTGTTACGATAGAAGTCGCCATCGTCGTTATGTAGTGCGCCTACTATGATCACATAAAGTGCGGCCACTTCCATGGTATGATGATAAAGAAAAATAAGGAAATTTAACCGCCCTCTACGAATGTATTTTATCATGTGGAAAACAGCAATACAAATAAACAAACTATGCGCGGTACATTACTAGGTAATCCATCGGTAGCGGGCGTCCTACTCTGGCTGCGTATGACATATCGTTTTCTACGTTCTCAATGAGCATAGTTTGCTCTTTTGTTCTATTTATACTCTTTGGTCCAACTTAAGTTAATTAATCATTGATTGATAAAGAAAGTGCCATTAACACTCTGACTGCCAGGGATTTGAAAAAATAGTGTCAGCTTTAACACTTTTCCGAAGCTCATTGAGAGTGCGTATGTGATCAGATTGACAGCAAATTGAAAATGACTCACTTTTGGAGATTTACGCAATTTGGCACAACGGAGCTCAGATAATCATGATTTCGTGAAAGTAAATCAATACCTCTCTGTGCTAATGTAAACAAACAAATAGTGAAATACTTACAGTCCAGACTGAATATAGTGTTCAAATTGTTAGTACATGTACATCTGCATAACAACCTGAAAAACGGAGATCTCTGTGTTTGGTGGGCAGAGTGTTAATCATTGATTGATAAAGAAAATGCCAAACTCCAATTTTATTAGTAACAAATTTAGATTGCTATAATACTACTGGTAACGATAATACAAAATAATTATCTCTATGAATATGAATATGTTTGTTGATACACTTACTATTGCAAGTAAAAAGAACCATCCATCCAGAGGGCAGCAGACTTGCATGTCAACGCCCACATATGTACCTCTTAATTATTTTTAACCTTTGTAAACACAATCATATAATGTGCTATTATATAATATTTTTATATTGTACTTACAGATACTGCAATTACAGTTAATAATAACATAGTAGAACAAAAAATTACTTAATTATTATCTAACCTGTTGTTATAATAATAACATTTTTTTTTTTTTTTAAACAGATTTTTAAAAATCATGATTTATAAGTTTGAGCCTGGTTTGCTTGCGCCTGCATCCACTAGAAATTTTTTAAGCACAAAATATGCTAAAGTAGTTAAAAATCACCTAATACCCACTTTATTTTGCCAATTAGTTCCTCCTCACTTTATTATCAAGACCTTCAACTTCACTATCCCCATCAGCACCACCACCCCCCCCCCCCCCCCCCCCCCTCCACCCTTCAATACCTCTAGATACATCACTAATCACCATAGCTAGTCTTTATTTTGTAAATAATACAGGAATTTGTATTTGTAAATATTTTAAGTAATTCTTTTTAAAGTTGTTGTGTAGAATGTGTGTATATCACACAAAATAGTTGTTTTATAATAATATACAATTATGTTATAATGCTGTTAATATTTTTTAGTAAAAGACTTTGGATGTTTGGTTAATGTTTATGCAAATTATGCTGTGCAATGTGGCTTATTAAAATGTTGGGTGTATTCATGCAGAACCATAGCAACTTTATATTTGTTGGATTAACAGTGTGTATGTTTTCAGCATTATCAGCAACAGTTCCTATTGATTATGCATAGCTAGCATTTGGACAAGTGTCTGTCCTCTCATTCTGCAGGCGCGCATCGTAGTGCTAAATGTAAACTCACTAGCCTAGAATTTTCTTCATGCTGGGAATTACAAGTACTTTGTACAAGTTGTTTTGACCTTTTGTACATGAACCGAACAAAGGTTAAGAAAACCATGCACTAATGTAAAATTAATGCATGGTTTGGGTTAGGAATATAACATCATTCATTCATTCATTCTTTATTCAGCCAAACATATACATTTACATCGGGAGTTACTGTACAGTGATGATGTCACGAATGACTTGAAACTGTTAATATTATACAGGGATCTTAATCAGGTATATACGTGTGCTTAACTTTATAGATCAGCTACAATACAATCCAGTATCATATGTTATGGCATACTTTACAATTTTAATATGCTTATTACCATATTATGTAAAGTCTTGTCAGTAGTGGCAAGATCAGGGAGATGCATCTCCCTAGTAAGATGTGGAATTAATAATCCTTATAGTGGCATTGTTTATAAATTGCTGCATACGTTTACAAAATAATAATCTATTTACCTCGGTGTGGATTTTGAAATAGGTTTGTGATTCTTTAGCCATATATCAAGAGTGCAAATTTATATATTATTTAATATTATTAGAAAGGAATTAAGAGTGTTGTCATCGTTTATATGGACTAAACAAGTACATGCTATTAACATTGCAAGTAGAGTATATTATTTTGAGGAGTTTAAAGTTTGAAGCCTGTTAATGTAAATTTAGTTTTCTTCAGTAAAAAGTCTATTTTATAATTATTTCTTGTAAAAATGTTAATTCCAAGATTCTCTGTAAAATATTCGTTTTCTAAATTTGATGTAGATTAGCAGATTTCAATTCCTGAAAAAAAATGTAATTATTTATGATTATAAAGGTTGTCTTTATCTATAATTGTATTACCGCATTTATTAGGTCTGGTGACAGGGGCTCTGCAAATTACAGATTTCAAGATTCTCTGTAAAATATTTGTTTTCTAAATTTGATGTAGATTAGCAGATTTCAATTCGTGAAAAAAAATGTAATTATTTATGATTATAAAGGTTGTCTTTATCTATAATTGTATTACCGCATTTATTAGGTCTGGGTCTGGTGACAGGGGCTCTGCAAATTACAGATTTCCCAGTAGTTAACAGTGTTAAAAACTGAACAAGAAGTTTGTACAACACATAATTACTGTATCATCGTCTAGGCCTAACTTCAATGTTGTTTAATCTTTGCCACATTATCTATGATTAATAAAATGGTCATACTGTATAATCATGGAGTTACTTGTGCTCCCTGGGATGATGAAATGTGAATGACCTCTTACCAGTCACCATCCTTACTTCCATGCAGAGCTGTCTCATAAGGCCAAGTAAACCTACCTTTTGGATTGTCTCCTAAATTTGAATAAATATTTGTCAACAAAACTGTGTACTTATGAATTTGTTTTCTATTATTAGTAAAAGAAGTGCCATGGTGTCAGTATTTTCCCAGAGGGGGTATTTTAAAGGGAAGATGCAGAGTTAAAATGTTCCTTAGTACAATCTCAAAATTAAAAAAATCCAATGCAAAAGGTGCAAATCTACTGTAATCAAGAAATGCAGAAATAAAGTACAGTATTATATTATTATTTGACATTCCGTACAGGTACAGCAGAGGCTCCAGAAATTTGTCAACAAGGGGTTTGACGTGTTTCGATGAATCAGGGGTGGCGCCAGCGGCCCTGACGGGGGGCGAAAAAGCACAATTCATTGGGGGGAAAGAAAAAAATTATGTATTTTCTACATATTAGTAGACTATAAAATTGATTAAATAAGCCTTTGAAGCCCCTAAATTGTCAGGACCACTTTTGAAACCTTTTAATCGAAGCTCGACCACTTTGCTTTCATCGGGCAAATCCTGGCGCCACCCCTGCGATGGAGGGGTCCGAGCCAAAAGACCGACTAGAGCCTAGGTCGGGGTACCGGAATTAAAATTCCCTGCTAGGGTTCAATAGGCAAATTATTTTTTTCCATCCAACAGGGTTCTCCCCCAGGAAAATTTTGGTTCCTAGAAGGCAGGAAATGAGCTTTCCCGACTTCTGAGGTGTCTTTTAATTTCTTCAAAATTTAAGGTTTTCCCATCTTGATAATTATTATAATGAATCAATGAACCCAAAGAAAGGGAGGTTCGAGTTCTTCCCGGGAAAATGTTGATTTCTAAATGGTGGGCAATGAGCTTTCCCGACTTCTAAAGTATTTTTTAATTACTTTTAAGTTCTTCAAAGTTAAAGGTTTCCCACTCTTGAAAATGGTCAGATAATTTTTTTCCCATTGTTGTTACAGTAAATAGGCCTTATGTGTGTATTCTTCAAAATTCAAGGTCCCCCCCCCCACCTTTTGAAAGTGATTCAATTAATCAATTAACTCCAAAGAAAAATTTCGATTTCTAGATGGCGGGAAATGAGCTTTCCTGACTTCTGAAAATGTATTATAATGACTTTTAAAATTTCTTCAAAATTCAAGGTTTTCCCCACTTGAAAACAGTCAGGTAAATTTTTCTCATTTTTTATTTTATGTGTGTATAATGTACATACATAAACAAATGAGTAGTTGCATGCGTATTCTTTTTGCCTTAAATTCAAAAAGAAAGGGTGGTTCCGGGGATCTCCCCCTTGAAAATTTTGATTCCTATATGGCGGGAAATGAGCTTTCCCGACATTTGAAGTGTGTTTTAATGATTTTTATGTTGTTCAAAATTCTAATTTTCTTATTGTAATAAAAAAACAAAAAAAAATCAGCTCACGGGTCCTAAAAAGGTAGGTCTAGAATTCTTTTTCTTTTCCTCCTTTTTTTTGTTGCCCAAGGGAGGGATCAGGACCCATGAGCCCCCTCTCCCAGAAACGCCAATGTGAATTGCGAGAAAATATAACTCGGTCGGGGACTGGATAAACATTCTCTTTCTGTCCTTTTTGGGCATCTAGAGGTGACATAAACCTAATATACAACTTTTTAACCTCAGCCCAAGCTATGATGAGGATGAAGGGGCATGTGTATTAAAGTTTAAAATAACATATTTTCTGATGTTTATGAAAACAGCCACTGCAGTGGCAGCACTAGTAGGAGCCACTGCATTTCAGTAAATTATTTTCCACATTACAGCCATGGCCGGCAGAACCGGGGGGGCGGGGGGAGATATGTCTGCAGATTTTTGTATGATCGGAAATGCAAGAAAAGAAGGAGGAGCCACTGCAGTGGCTGTTTTCATAAACATCAGAAAATATGTTATTTTAAACTTTAATACTCTATGCATCCATACTGTTTTTCTTGAATTTGATATCAAGTAAAATATAGAAAAAATAATCTATGCTGTCAAGAGCAGAGGTGGTGTTACCATTCCATTACAAGTGGTTCCCCAACAGATGGCACATGCCCCCTCATCCTCATCATAGCTTGGGCTGAGGTTAAAAAGTTGTATATTAGGTTTATGTCACCTCTAGATTGCCAAAAAGGACACTCTCAGGTCAGCATATAAAATATTTTTCCTCCAAAGATTTTACTGCTACTTCCTAATGGCTGACCCAGGTTTCTCTGACAGCTAGGCCAGGTGTCTCCAATGGCTGGACCCGCCGTGGGCCCCAATTGGAGCGCTTGCTGGCGTCGTTCCATTCAAACGAATGCAACTATCTCACATTATTGCCTGAAGGTGTACCTACATTGCAGTACCTACATTTTAATTACAAGACAATAAAAAGTTCAATCGAAAAACATGAGTGTCAATACACTTATTCAAAAGTAGATTTATTGGGTAACTGTACACAGTGAAAATATATCTACATTTACATGGGTTACATTTTTCATGCAAATGCACAGACTAGAGACAACTCATTACAGTGCCACAGGGGTCTGCAGCATTACAAAAGTAAATACAGTATTTGTAGTATGAACAACAAGCCTGGAACTACTATTACAGAATTCCCTCTATGTACACAATACAGAATCTGTGTAGCCTACCCCTGAACCTTATGCCAAAGTTAACATGTACTGAATAAGTTTAAATTCCTTTAAACTGAAAAAAAAACCTGAAAAAAAAAACCCACTGGTGACAAACTTGAATCTTAATATACATTCAATAGATAACTTTATAGCCGTTATAACATGGATATAAATAATTTAGCAGATAGAAAGGTAAGGTTAAGTGATCACTACTGGCAAAATGTAAAACAATTTTCACAACTTGTATGTACATAAAAACCTACCCTGAATTTACAAAACCTTTCTTTTATTATAAACAACTATATCTTTCAGTCTGAAAATAATATTCTTGTAAAACAGGTAATAAAAAAAATGATGACCAAATTATTTTAAGTAAAGCACAAAAGTGGAAAACAAAATTATAACCAAAATTACATGCAACCTAAACATCCCTTTTACCAAATTAAAATCCCCAAATTATTATCAAGTGATATTTTTTGTGTCCTGACAATATTTCTTGGACAATATTAAGTTTCAAGCAAGGTGCTACTGAAAATATTTTTGTTTAAATTCCCATTGGGACCGAACTTAGTTCTTGTACAGAAAATTAATAAATAGATTTTAATGCAGGCAAAATACAACCTTCCTGTTTCGGATTACACGTTATGAATATCAGTGATCTATAGACTTGTCTCAATCATCAGTGATATTTCAAAATATTTAAATATACAAAAATACAAAGAAAACATCTTCATTTTCCTAAAACAATTCATTTTTGAATAATATACATAAAATTTTAAAGCGATTAAAAGATTAGCTGCAAATGGAAAAATAGCCTTTCCAATGGTTCTTCTCAATTTTTTTTTAAAAAGTACTAATACATAATGATACATTTTGTCCATGTCTTTGTGGCAAACAATAAAGTAAATAAAAATAAATAAATCTGGTAATTTATGACTAACGGTATGGAGGCTTGACTGGTATACAAGATTACCAGATACACACCACCTTGGACACCATTTTCTAGTTAAACCTCAATACTCAATCATAAACATATTGAACAAGCTCAATCTGTAATTCTTGTATTCATACACCACGTGTATATGTACATATTCTTGGTATCATTAAAATAAATTATCTGGTTTGTTTTTTTTTTCCAAAGGTATAGCAGTGTATAAAACTGACACAGACCTTTACCTAGCACACACCTATGATTGGTATAGGCCATTTTCTGGCTTTTAAAATATAATTAAATCTAAACCAATGCTTGAGTAGATAATTGTACTGCGTTTAGATTTATCATAATCAGCATCTTTGCAATGTATTACAACTACCTAAATCTCTGCTGACCTAATATGACTATGATGATAAACACTTAAATTCATCAAATACCAGTAAAATCACCCACAGCAAACAACTTCTTCAATTTTGTCAAATATATTGCGATCTTCGAAGATACATTTCATAAATTGTTTTATTTATATAAAGATAAAAAATGATTTCAAAGGCAGTGACATGTACAGAAAGTAATTTTCAAAAGCTGGCCTCAAATCTAAGAATCACTGTGCCCTTAAAAAAAAAAAAAAAAAACAAGTAATACGAACAGAGAATGTAGTTTAAAATTGCTGTGTATACAAATACACTCCTAGCTGGATAAAACAATCTTTCTCTCTATTATATTCTATATTTATTGACCTATATATAATTAAACAAAATTTCAACCTTTGCTAAAACACAATGTCAATATTTTTTTTCTGAATAGTTACAAGTACTCTTTTGAATCATCAGCACTCATAGACACTGATGGATTTAATTATAAGTATATTTATTAAGCTTAATTACTTCACTCAAGTCTCAGTTACAAAATCCATCCTCTCACCTCGCACCTCTTTATTATGTCAAAATTTAAATATCATTAAAATAATTATAAGAAATCATTGTTTTCAATTGATCCGATACATTTGGTATGAACATTATAAATATCTTAAAATGCTGGTGGTAGTTTCACCTTCGTAAGATGGTCTGACCACGAGAGTCCATTATTCCATATTGGTTATACATAGTACCGGGCCCGTACGGTGTATTTCTGAAAGACATCTGTGATTGTGCAGGAGGGCACATCATGTTTACTTGCATCGATTGTTCCATATATCCAGTTCCTGTATCAAAATTATTGTGTAGAGGTTGCGTGACAAAGCCATTCATATGTCCATGATGGTTATAGTTCTGCGGCATGTAATTGCAATGCTGGGCTGGAGAGCCATGCTGCGGATTGTGGTGATGTTGCGAATGGAAGTATGGTGATCCGTAGCCTTTAAATCGTTGGTGGTGATATCGTTGGCCCGAGTTGCGTTGATAGAGCTGTTGTTGTCTTTGCATATCATGATTTAACTGCGATTGGTACCTCTGTGTCACTGTGTTTTGCATCATGTTCATCTGATGCTGTTGCTGTTGCTGTTGTTGGTGTTGGTGAACTTGTCTCATCCCTTGTTGTTGCTGTAGCAGTTGTTGTTGGTGCTGCTGCTGCTGCTGTTGGTGGTGGTGGTGGTGATGGTAGTTGATGTCAGCAGCATGAGGTGGAACTACTGGCAATTGCGACATAGGGGGGCTAATATTTTTCTGAAGTGGTGGCGGAGGGGTTGGATTGTGAGGTGGAGTGATGTTTGTCTGAGGTCTAGGTGACTGTGCTACTGGTAAGTTTCCATGAGATTCTTGGTAGGATATACCATTTGTTAACTGCTGAAGTTTTGCAAGACTGCAGTTGGATTCTCTTCTTGCATCGATGCCGTAGCGTCCACTATTACCATGCCCTTCGTGTGAAGATTGCAGGCCATGTCCCTGCATTTGTGCCAGTGTAGGATCCGACGATGTTTGGCCAACATCATGTCTATTCATGGGACTACATACCTGGCTAGCTTGCATGGCTGGACTACACATTGGGTTGCTGTTAACGGAAGGGCTGCGGATCTGTGCTGATGACATTGCAGGGCTTGGCACAGGGCCATTACCCATACCAGGGCTACACACTGCTGAATTCATAGCTGGACTGCACCCTTGGATTGGATTAATAGGGGCAGGACTGTATCCCTGGGCTGGATTCACAGCTGGACTACATGCCTGAGCACCAGCAATACTTGGACTACATCTCTGGGAGACTGCTATTGTAGGACTACATCCTGTAGCTTGGTTCATCACTGGACTACAGGATTGTGCAGTTGATTCTGGACTACAAGCCTGGGTACTGCCTAAGCCTGGACTACAAACTTGAGCACTACCCATTGTTGAATTAAACGTCTGTGCAGTGTTCATATTTGGACTTCGTAGTTTTGCTGCTACTGGACTTTGAGGTGGAATGTTTGGACTATGCATATTGGCCATGGCTACCATTTGCGGACTGTGTATATTACCCATTACAGGACTACACACCTGCTGGGTCATGTTGGGACTACACTGGTTCATTGTTGGGCTACAAACTGATTGATTTAACCCTGGATTGCACGTAGATTGATTATTTCCAAGACAACTTCCCATTGCCGATCCTGGAACAGGTGTATTCATGTTATCTGGTGGATTCATGTTACTGTAAGTGTCAAGGTTTGGAGGATTTGCAATGGCCATACAACTGCTACGGCGCATTGGATTATGACAAGAGTACTGTTGCATCTGCAACGAGTGGTCATTCTGCATCTGCCCCATCATCCCCATATTCTGGTTATGAGTTGATGTGATCTGTGTTTGATCTTGAAGTGGGGCATTGTTGGTGCTATTGTACATATCTGAAGGCTCATTACTAAATCCTTCTAAACCAAGATTGTCCTGGCAGGCAGAGATCTCATTAACATTTGGTAAAATAGCATTTTCTATATTAGGCTGTCCATAGTTATTATTCACAACTTTATCAAAACATTGAGTTGCTTCATCAACTTCGTCCTCTTCTTCATCCTCTTCATCATCTTCTTCCATGATGGACTCCACGGCAACTGCAGTTTCAGCAGCTGCTGCAGCATCAATCATTGTGTTTTGAAAGGATGCTTGCATCAAACTGCCATCCAGACTATGCCTATCTGCTTCAAAGTTATCATCATCATCGCCAACTGTATTCTCTTGCTTTTTGAAATCCTTAGGTGACAAAACTGAACCAATTCCTGGTGATTTTTCAGGAGAATGACTGATTGTGTAATCATCAAACTTCTCCTCTGTCTCTTCAGATTCCAATGTTTCATTGGCTTTATCTTTTTGAATTCCATAACTCTTTTCACCATCATTTTCATGTTCAGCACATATAACTTCCTCTGACTTGTTCAAGACCAATTCTGAATCAAGATCTTCTTTATTAGCATTGTGGATGCTGCCACTATCGTCACTGCTACTTTCAGTGTGTGTGGCCTCACTCTCACTTCCAGAGCAGTCATCGACATTGGCTGTAGGTTCCTCCTGGTGTTCCGGTTCTTTTACCATGTCTTTTTCTACTGGTGTTGATATGTCTTCTGGTATTGGTGTTTCTGATTGCTTAGGTGATGGTTCAGGTTTTTCCACCTCAATTGCCTTGTCTACAATTTCATCATCATTGATTTCTGGGGTTCTATTTACATCAAGGTCCTTTGGTCTCTGTTCATTAAGTTTTGAACCCTCACAATCGTTATCCTCAATTACTGAATCGTCACTGTTACTAATATGTTCTGCATCACTATTGCTATTAATCTCAGCATCATTCAGCACCTTACAAGTTTCAGTTGTATCTGGATCTGCAGTTTCTTTCTCACTCTCCACTTTGTCTTCATGGTTATCTATTTGAATATCCATATCCTCCACTTGATCTACTTGAGGGTTACTCTTTGAATCAATGCACTCTGATTGTAAACAATCTTCCTCAACCAATCTGTCGGGAGACTTTTCCAATTTATCTTCTTTGTGAAGAGTAGCTTTCTCATCGTCCGATTCTGCTTTATCCACAGTTTCAACTATTGGTGGAGGAGTACAGTTACCATTTACACACACATTTTCTTCTTCCATTCTGCCTTCATCTTCGCAATCTGCATCTTCACCTTCTGACTGCTCACCGCTCCTCCTCTCTAAATCACTAGATTCTTTTTCATTGGTTTTATCTTCTTCTGGTGACAGTTTTTGTGACTTAGTAATGCGTGATTTGACTACTGGTTTGTTCGGTTTTTTCAAGTACCAGGCAGTTTTACGCCTCCGTCTTCTCCTTCCAGGTATAGATGGCCGTTCAATCTTTCCCCTTTTGACCCCCTTAGGCCATCCACGTTTCTCCTTAATAGGGGGCATGGGCACTACGTTTTTTGGCCGCAGAGATTTGCTTGGTGGGAGGAGACTTTTTGGCGGGATTGGTTTAATGCAAGACACAGTGTTATTTCTTTCGTCTTCATCAGAGGACTCTTCCATACGATTTATATTCAGAAGCCTATCTAAGACTCTGTTTTTACGAGGTCTTTTCACAGTCTTCTTGTGAGGGAATGATGTATGTACTAACTCATCTTCTGCTATTTCTTTTTCAGACTTTGATTGAGTAATTATGAGTTCTTCCTCCCTGACATCTTTGACAACTGTAATGTAACAAAGAATAAACGTTATTTTAGAGATGATTATTTTTTTAAATAACATAATAAAATGTGTTAATCAAACATTAGGAACTTAATATTTTGGAAATACAGTTGAACTTGCCAAAGTCGAATCCAAAATGGCACTAAAATATTGTTTAACAATAATACTTGACTTATAGATCATTAATTAATGTAAAATAAGATTGACTTTGAAATTATTTGAGTTAGGTTAAGTCGACTTAGGCAAGTTTAACTGTACAAAAATATAACCATTAACCCTTAACATAAATTTACCTTGTGTTTCGGTTTTCTCATCATGAAGTCTTTTGTCTTTCTTTTGGGAGACCAAGATCGGGATTTTTCTCCTTTTCTTCCTCCTTCCTGTCTTCCATCTTCCATAAACCTTTAAAAAAAAAATAAAGAAAACATAATAATACAAATCATATCTTGGTCATTATATAAATATCAATATATATAAATACTGTACTAATTAATATATATGAATTTGAGAAAATATATGAATATTAATGATTACATGGATATATTATGTATATATATATATATATATATATATAAGCGTCGGTAAGCGTCGGGGTCGGATATCTGACGTTGGTACGACGTTGGTGCTGTCTCTTATACACATCTAGATGTGTATAAGAGACTATATACACATATGTATATATATATAATAAATATTTATGAGTGCTGATGACTGCATTTATGAATATATATGCATAAATGTACTGTATATGCATTGTAAATACATATTAACGGCAGGTGCAATATTTAAAACATACATTGCTAAAAATTATTATAAAATTAAAATATAAAATAATCAAAACACATATAAGCTGAACCAATACAACTCAAAAGCCAAGGATATTCATAACAAAATGAAGTGACAGTAATAATGGGAAAAATGACCAAAAAAAATGAAATGAAGTAAAGGGATAAATATATACTGTAACATGCTTGTGAATATAGTAATATTGTAAGCTGCTTTCATGATAGTAGCATATCAAATTATATATACATGATAATGTGTGGTAATGACTTCACAACAGAACAGAAGGATAATCATTGGATGTGCTGTGTTGTTTGAAGGAATAAACAATAGTGAGCATGTGCAATAACACCACGACGGTTCTGAAAATATCTGGTATGTGTTGAGAAATCTCTAGTCAGACATTTTGTGGTATTCACGAGAATCTCAATTCCTAGTCAGATACGGATCACAGTGTGTGGTGAAGATTTGACAACAAAACAGATGGATATCCAGTATCTATGAGTTGTGTTTTCTACAGGTATAAGTGTCGCTGTCTCAATCACTTATCAGATATATATACCTAATGATTGTATATTCACACAGAACTCAAAACTCTCTATTTAATTTCTGTACATGAATCTATACTTGCAGATATATCTGAACAGACTTGAAGTTCTGTCCACTCTATCAAATTTTCTTTCACAAAAAGTTGTTGTTTGCCCATATACAGTAATGGTGTACGTATATACACCTTTTATCGGGTCTATTTTGAAACAGTGCTACCAACGTATCGCAACTTTTTACTAGAGGACATCCAGCAGCCCTGGCTGAGCAAACTTCATTTTTTCCGACATCTTTTTTTGAGTACTTTTGACAACCAAAAAAAACTGCAGGCTTTATGCGCCCTATATTTTTTTTTTTTTTTTGGCATTTTGTTTTCAAAGACTAGCCTACAACAAGGTCGTGCACACATCACAGAGCATCGTAAACAAGTAACTACGTAGAGCGAAATGCCTAGGCCTCTGGAAGTCCCCCAGTGGTAGTTGCCAGGTTCTCGGAATTTTCATTTCAAATTTAGCGAAAATAGTGTATATGGTGATGATTGGATGTCATTAGGACCATATTTAGGAATGTCAGGTGTTTAGTCTGGACAGGGTTTAATACTGTAGCAATCAACATCTGAATCTGACAAACGTTCAATGAACACTTGCACTTGTAGCAAAGCGTACAAAATTGCAAAATGTCTGACTGCCCTGTTTTTGAATGAATGTAATGAAAACGTTAAAAAAGCGCTACCACGAGATAGGGCACCCTATTGAAATTTCAGTTCAAAACTCGAACATGCTTTTTACAGACAAGCAGAATGCATTAGATACGAACGCCGTCTAGTTTGTGGTAGCGCTTTTCGAGATAGGATTGCATTGCAACGAAACCCAGAGAGTTGGACCTCTTTCAGTTCTGCACTCTCATTAAATAACCTATATTGATTAATGACTTTCTATGCTACATTGCTTAAATGATTGGTCAGAATATTAATTTACACACACATATTATATATTATATACTGTATATATCATAACGTAAAAAAGTGTCAGTAATAGCTTCAGTTGCAACCATTATGAATTAGAATTGATTACATTCCATATGTCCTTTTTATCAGTTTTATTTTCTTCTTATTAAGCTGCGAGAATGAATTCTTCCAAAAATACCTCCACATTTCATTACTGACAGAAAATAGGCTTTGCAACCAAAAGAATGGTGCAGTAGAAATGCACAGCACTAATACCATATTATCATTTATTTTTTAATTTTAATCCTAATGGCCAGGGATCACCAATAGCGACTTAATCACTGTCCTATTAGATAGGTGGCAATCCTTCACATAACAAACATATAGACATGATTCTCTACATAAAGTCTATTTTATTTATTTATTCTCTAATGATAGGTTCCTGGAACTGAATCACAAAATCACAAAATATGATCCAAATATTGACCAAAATTAACAAGCGCAGGTGTGTTGTAGGAGAGGGAAAAGGTCAAAGATGACAGAATACAAGAAAAATTATAATTCCATTCAGTTTGTAAATTTATGTAGGATAAATAAATCAGTGTAATGTTTTTATAAGTAGGTTTGGATGAGTTAAAATTTATCGTAACTATTTGTGTTGGCCATATCTATTACAGTTAATCAGAAGGATCTGGCCAGAATGGACCAATCAGTTGGATTTGGATGGGATAAACCAATCGAAAGGATCTGGCTGGATTTGACCAATCAAAAGAATCTAGCTGGAAAGAACCAATCACAAGGATTTGGAAATACTTAGATGATGCTAACAAGCAGATATTTGAAGTGGTGCTTATATAAAGGATTGCTAGGGGATATATTATTTATTGTGGGCTCATAATAGATCATTGCAAAAGCATGTGGGACTACCTCTAAAAGGCTATAGTGCACAGCAGGATATAAAGGGTAGCATGCAAACTACATTACAATTCATTCAGCTCTAAATAGGATGTCAAGCGGATTTATAATAAAAATTGAAGCGACATAAATCAACCACTCGTGTATAGTAATATTTATAATTTCATATAATAACAGTCCCAAAAGAAATGCGAAACTTCAGTAGCCAGTTAAGAACAGGTTGACATCATTTTCTATACAGTGTGATACAATAAGCTCGTAAGAGTGTTCAAATTTCAGCCATGAGTGAAAAAAATAATATACCAACTTATTCTACAGATATTTTGGCTACGTTCACACACACCAGCTAATGGTTAGCAGGACCCAGATAAATTACATACGCGCTCACCCTTGTGTTCATACAAGAGAATCCCCAATCTAGATATCAAGAAAATGATGATGGGAAACTGGAAATGCGTACAACTGATTGGTTAATGATAGAAACGTGGTCCAACATGCTAACCGATAGCGCTCGCTAACCGATAGCGTATCCACTTACTGGCAACGGTTAGCACTAACCGATCGGGCATTCACACACAGGTGCTAACGGTTAGGGCTAACGGTTAGCTCCTGATCTGGATACTGAGGGTCTAGTGTGAACCTAACCATATAAAGAATAGGATGAGATCTATTTTGCCAGCTACCACAGATAAGTAATAAACACGTAACTAAAACACATCAAACACTCCATGCAGACTAAGATGAGAAACAATCTCACCTCCCTGGTGAGGACAGGGGGGCTCCTGTCCCCTCCTTTCAAACGGGATGAGGAAACACAATCCCCCCTTGAGGTAAACAGATCCTTATGCTGGCTGTACAACTAGGAGGTCAATAGAACAGTGTAATGAAGTTAATTACTTTTTTGAATTATAAGCTTTTTATTCTATCCAACATGAAAATGAATGTACTGTTGTAAATTGTTATTATGTTACTGTTGACCAGCAAGGTGACGGTGTTACTACCTAAACAGACCACCTGGAATTGTCCACCTGGAATTGTCCACCTGGGCATCAGACACCAGTTTTACTGCCTAGATGTGACCTCCGACCTAGGTATGGCCACTTTATTTGTACCACTTAGTAACCACTTGGACAGCAATACCTAAGTGTGACCACCTAAGTATTTTTACCATGGGAGTAACCAGATGGGTCTGACCCACATGGGGTCTGACCCACATGCGATTGAAAACCTTGGTGGGACAACCTAAACTTTATCACACCTGGGTGGTCAACAGTATTGCTAATATTTTGCAACTGATAAATGTAAAATAAAAAAAAAAAACATAAAATGAACTTATTTAAAATGTAACAACTAAAAAAAAAAGAATATTAAATTACAAAGGGCGACATAGCAAATGAAGCTGACTGTTTACCAACCTTCTTTGGCAGTGCTGGAGTTTCCTTGAGAGCTGCCATTGATGTCGTAGCTTTCCTCTCTAATTCTATGTCTCTGACAATCTCACCCATTCTGGATACCTATATAGTACAACGCAAAAAAACAATACCAGCATGTCAAATGTGAATAATTGCTATGTCACCGATACATGATGTAAAGCATCACAGGCTTTTCAATACTACACACAGTATGCTCTGCATCATTCTATTTTTAGAACTGAATTACTGCCTCAGTAAAATAATATAATTTAACTTTATACTGCCACGTAAATATAGCATGAAAAAATGAATGATAGTGTTTGTATATTTCATTAAGTTATTCCAACTCAAAATTTGAATAAGTAAAAAAACATACCCATGCTACATTAACCGGTGTTTAAAAAAAAACTATTCCTATACTTTTTGAGAACACCCTTAATTTTTTTGCAGTGGAAGTAATGATTATTGTAGTAAAACATCTGTACATTGATTTTTTTTTTTTTTTTTTTTTTTTTTTTTTTTTTTTTTTTTTGTGAATTATCTAAAGTTGATAATTTATGTGGTTCTCTTAAATAAGCAAATTAAATTTCATTTCTAAAAGAACCTCATTCCTATTAATTGTACAAATCACATATTTCGAAGGACTTTTCTTGAGTTTTAGGGTGGCGTGTACTTCAAAATGCTTACCTCATTCCTAGCATGTTTCTCTTCATCTAGGATTGAAGGATGGTAGACTATGAGAGGTGACCACCGTAAGCTGACAGGATCCAGTACCATCCTGGGGGCTCGACACTTGTTCACTTTCTCCATATGTTCGCTTATCAACTTCTTTCGAAGTTTTATAACAAGTTTACCGTCTCTGTTAGCAAGCATTCCGAGATTTTGAAGGGTAGATGAAATATCATGTGGACACATGCCTGTGGCTCTGCTAATATCTGTGAAGAAAATTAAAAAACAACAAACATTACAACTTAAGATTACAGATGTAAAATTTTGTTCATATAAATTCTAACATGTTGACTGCCAGACCTTTTTTTTAGGTTCCTTCCGGTGTGCCAAAACAAGCATACATGTACAATGTACTTTTTTGAAATTCTATCTTGTCATACATCATCCAAATGATGTGTCTAATAAATTGGTGGAAAAATATTAGGGGACGAGTAAACTCGTGGCCAGCATAGGGACAGTCCTTTTCATTGCCTCTGCCACATACGAGTTTTCTCGTCAGCTTTTTGCATGGGTTGGTATATGTTCAGAGGCACCCCATAACACAACAAACATGCATACGTTACTTGTATGGTATCGTCTAGATGTATCATCACCGAAATATCTGCCGTTAGGTCTGTGGTTCCACAATGTATAAATGCTAGAATATTAACCTGATTTTGACGAGTATGATCGTCCCTACGCCCTCAGCAACACTCTGTGAGAACGAGTATACCCGTTGCTGGCAGCGAACGTGTTAAACACTAGAGTAGTTCCTTTGGTACATGCCCTCCTCTTTTACCACAAATTTGGCTGATTTTTTCAGGTTTATACCCAAGGAATTCCTTTTTCACAAACAAATGACGATCCTTTGTTAACTGAGAGCATGTTCTATAATTTGTAGAGAACACTGCATTCCTAATTTAAAGCCAATATTTATTTTTCTGAAAGTATTCGTAAAAGTTAGCAGAGTAACTTAAAATGTATCCGAGGTGGGCTTACATCTGAGGAAGTGTGGTATGTATTATTGTAATATAAGACAGGTTTCGCATGCAAACGAATATGTGTACGCACAAGTTTAGTTATCCGTAACGATTTGTAGCCATTCTGTGTTATCGCAATCACAGTGCAATTCAAGCGTTGGCCTAGGGCCTTAATTAACTTAGGGCCTAGGTCTATACTCCATTTTCTTCTCTCATCATGCTTCTCAAAGTTTCATGTAAGGTTTGGAAATAGAAATTGGTAGCCGAATAATACTCCTTCCTTTGTTGCCCAGAAGAGCTGGTTATTATGTGATATGCCCTATTGTTTATGACCCAAAAATGCCTAGCTACAAGCTAGGCTAGGTCTACATGAAAATGACACCACCAAGGTCCAAGCACCGACGTTTTGATACCCCAAATTGAGACGCATCTTATCATAATTTTCTGTCTTCAAATGTCACAAAAATTGCACGCACGTATTCAAAGATACATTTATTTCTTACCTCACTATAAAATGTGAAGGAAAAAAAATGAAAATCCTATTAGAAATCCATAATTTTCCTACACGTTTTTCACTTACGTGTAGTGATATGACGCCATAAATGATGACATATCCGTCACACTAACAGTATGTGTTCGCGTGCGAAACCTTCCTATGACTACAGCAGAGCCCTATTACGGGGACACCTTCAGGACTTCCCTTTAATATGGGTGACCTCTCAGTAGGGATGTCCCAAAGGAGGGTTTCTATTATAGTTCACTATTAACATTATTCAAGGTGTGGGTTGTAGTGCCGGTTCTCCAAATAAAAAATACCAATATCATTAAATAGCACAATTAATATATTCTTTAAAATTTCTTTGTAGTTTGTAATAATCATAGAATTTCAACAACTTTCATGATCCGTACAACTAAATACTATTGTATGTAGGCTGGGTGATTTGATCAATTATAATTAAATCATATACCATCCGGTAACTAAACAAATTTTTTTCTCGGATATTAATCCGCTGATCTTATTTCATAGTATAGCTGTAATGAAAGGAACACTGGCCTGCAACCTCTCCCCTTGTATCTGTGCCCGATGAGCAATCTTCATCGTTCATGCATCATTTGGCCTCACTCACTGTGCCTACTCGCTGTCATCATTACCAATTTGGCAACCTGTCATATTATGTATTTATCGAGTTTAATTGTCTATGTCCTGCTGTGTCAACCACATAGGGGATTGCCACTTACACAGTCGCTGAGCAAGTGATTCATTCAAGTAATCACTCGCTATCATAAATCAAACGGTAGTGACGTACCTTTAATTGTGATTTGAGCCGAATGCTGGTTACGGTGCATATACTCCAGGATGATGCTCCTCCAGTACGAATTGTAACTGACTTTTCCGAGGTCCGACAGTGGCTTCTCAGGAGAGCCTGGCTGCCCTTCACGCCGTGATAATAAATAGCCTAAAGTACAAACAGCAACTCATCCATTAGTAAATTATTAATTATCATACAACATCTTCTCCTACATATATCTGCGCTTCTGGGTTAAAAACTACTTGCCAAATTTATTAATTGAAAATGAAGTAAAAAATTATTGACAATTGTGATGTAAATTAATTATGTTCAGTTTGGGGTGCCAAAAATATTTCTGTTATTCCTTTTAAATTATATTTGTAACATACAAACTTTAGTATTTTGCACTATAGAAATGTGAAACTATTAACTTACTAAAATCAATGAGAAATCTGCCGTAGCCACACCTCTGGTAGGGTGGCAACGTCATGATACAAGACACATTGTACCTCTGCTGACAATGTTTCTCCTGCAAAAAGAAAAAAAACAAACAAATGAAGATGTTAAAATGGTGCAAACGTTACTAAAACTGTATCTCGCTCATAATCCTTGACAATAGACATATACTACACATATTGTAGCGCACAAACTTTTGAAGCATACATCTAAGTTTGGTTAAACATTTCAACTCATTTAAAACACTTATTTGCTACTTTTGACAAGATTACTTCTCTTACAGGATGTTAAAGATGGGCCAGGGAGAATTTGCAGATACACTATTTTTTGTTTGTTATTATAAGGCCTAAAAAAAATTGTTTGTTTGCCCTCCAGCGCCCGCCTCCCCCCCCCCCCCCACGGAAAATAGGGGCAGCGTTTTTAAAAAAGGCTTTATTTTAAATTATTTTTTGTTCACAGATTTTAAAAAGTGATCTTTATTTTTCTCCATTTTGCACATAAAAGTTGCCTAAATTTGGTGTCTAATGTAAGGTATAGCCATTCTAGGCCTAAACTCATTGCAAAATATTGATTATGGTTTATTTTTATTCAGTCTGATGAATACCCTTTAAAAAACAAATAGTGAGACAGGCTTAATCGCAAGCACTGCGATTTAATATGTTAATTTTGGTGACAAGAAAAAAAAAACTAAGGAAAAAGAATACTTTTTTGCGCCCACCCCTCCTATACAATTTTAAAGGGCAAACAATTTTTTTTTTTTTTAGGACTAATGCTGGTGGTTCTGCCTTTAAAAGTTATTGTGGTAGAAGTTCAGTTATTGTTAGAACAGTAGACTGCTAATTGAGACCAAATGACAGCCACTCTCAAAGAGGACTGCCAGGATTAGTTGGACTGGTATTGTGAATATTTTACTTTCATCATGTATTGTTTAAAAAAAAACACTTAAGTAAGGAAGTCTGGTGCACTCAAAAGATTTGAATGATATAACAAAATAATAATAATACTGAAATTTATAGTGCCTTGTTTATATAATACTGGTAAAGTTCAAGTGGGTAAGAGATAGTTTTTTTTTTTAAAGCTATCAAAAGATTGGTGTATTAGCAGTTGTCTGGAAAAGACTTGAAGTGGATTTCAATGATGGTAAAACAGAAAGCCCTGTTTGTGACATGGAATGCAGAGTTTAGAATTATTTTTAGAACTGACCGTGAATTTGGCAGCCACTATTTAATAAGCTTCACTACTAAAGGATATAATTTATTAGAAACACAGGAATAATCTAAATATTAATAATTATGAATATAAAACCATGTATAGTACTTATTATTTAAAATTTATATCTCAGTTGGATGTTAATAAAAGTTACCATGATGTGTGATGGTTAGTGACCTTTAGCCTATGTCAGAAACACATTAGTAAGTACACTGTGTGAATAGGCTATGTCAGGTGAAATTGACAGACACACTAGCTGTAGCGGATGTAGGTCATTAATTACCTAGTATGCCCTGATACAGGAAGTACTCATAAAATGGACATTAAACTCAATATTTAGGCTTCTTCCCCTAAATTTTCCCTTTTTTAATGGCCGCTCTGTTCACAGAAAGGACAGATTTCCTTATGAAACATACATTGTGTACTTTGTAGAAAACTATATAAATACCACATTATTATGTTTATCATTATCATCCATTGTCCTTCCATTTATTGTATCCAACAATTTATTAATAAACCAATAAAAGAATATTAAAAAATAATATAAAATTATGATAAATCCTTTGAAATACAAAAGAAATATAAATAATTCAAATAATATCATTAATAGTAACTATATATATAGTAAACATAACAATATGCATATTGAAGTACAAACAAATAATATAAACAACATTAATTGTAACCATAATAATGTGTTCAAGAAACAAAGCTGTATGATGGCTGTGAATACTATGATGCTCTAAGTTTATCTACTCTGAAGAGACATAACTATGATGAAATTCAAAATAAAAATATATAATACTAACAGACAATGTAATATAAATATTATATTATTATAAACATATCAACATCATCTCTTTCATTAACAAGCAGCTGCAAATCTCTGGGATTTTATTTAGAAGCTATGGAGTCTGATTGGCCAAGGCGCATTATCTGAATTTCTTCTCTACACTGAGGATTTACATGGATATAGATAGGATAGCAACATAGTCTTATAGCAGATCCTTTGCAGAATGACTGGAATACTTTCCCTATCCCGAGGGATTGGAGTAGGCAACATACTGCTTATTAATTCAGACCAGAGTGATTTAAAGATCTCTTATACTAAGTGCTAAATAAAAACATTTAGAAATTTGATATTAAAAGCAGTTATCTTTCTTCAGAGCTAAAGAACATTTTTGTCACTACAATATAGAACACTGACTTTTTATATAGAATATCTTTTTTTATATTCTTTATATATTTTTATGAATATTTTTTATGTATAATTTTTTTAAGCTCTTGCTTGTTTCTTATTAATTTATTTCTTGTTTTTGATAATCTTTTTTTTTGTTTTTTTTTGTTTTTGTTTTTTTGTTTGTTTTTTTGTTTTTGTTTTCTTTTGTTTTGATTTTTTTTTGCCTGGGAAGTCCCAAAATTGTGTTTTATACTTTCGGTTATACTTAGAGGACTTTTTGTTGTATTTTACTTTCCTAATATGTTGTAACAAAATAAATAAATAAATACCTTTGAAAAGTAGCCAATGATATGGCATCCTTTGCTATCATTGGTAGTTAGTACATAAAATAGGAATGGTTCCACATCGTAATAAAGTGTCTTATGATCAAGAAAGAGCTTAGCCAGTAGGCACAAGTTTTGACAGTAGATTTTGCTGATATTCCCATCCACTTCAAACACCGACAAATCCTCTTTTCTGTAGATTTCATTCGCTGGGGGATGTCGCCATAAACATTTCTCCTAAAGCGAAAAATAACATCACTAAACTGATTAAAAGATTTCATAATAAAAATCTCAATGTGTAATGTTTAAGCACCTTATGGCACTACACAAATGCTGGTGTATTATTAATAAAGGTTAAAGGTTATGCATTTATACAGCACAAAACATGAGGGGTCTCTATGTGCAAAACAAATGAGCAAAGGTAATTGAAAAAAACAAGCAAAAGAAGAACTTAAAGTCAGCAACCAAACCGTAGTATGAGGAATACGGCCTCGATGCTGACGAGGGATCGGTCAAAGTGTACCCTGTCCAGCACCAGTTGAGTCTCGGCCAACCAAGGATTCAGGTGCCTATAAATAGTACAACACACTAAAGATCCCTGGTGTGATTCCTATAGCAGTCCATACATTCTTTAAGATCTCTCTCACTATAAAATTTGTGATATGCACACAAATGGGTGTGACAATGACATCATCGTGCCCACAATTTGGCAAATCACAGATAAAGGTGGGTACTCACTGCATCCAAATGTCGTCGGCCGACACACAACGCGAGGAAGCACGCTCAACAGATCGTTTTTATTGAAGATCCGTTCAGACAGTGTGAACAGACCTTTACACCACATTATTTTACAAGGCAGTATTTAAATTCTTTAAATTATTATTTATTACTCCTTTGTCATTGCTTAATTAAACATTTTTTTCCCTATTATATTGTTACTGTGCCACTAAGGTTTTCTAATTATATTTTTCAAAATAAAAGAACAATTTTCCAAGAATGTTTAATCTTATTAAGGCAAGCATTCAAGGAATTAAGTAATCAATGCATACAAGATACAGTTGATTTTGGATCAAGATCCTTAACAATGAGTAAAATAAAAACATCTACAATCCTATCTATAAATTAGTTAAGTCAACTTGTTACCCTAATGGGCAAGAATGATGGATATAGTGATGAAATGTAACTCTCTTACCCGATGTCTTTGCAGGATGTTGCGACTCTTCATGTACTTAAGGCAAAATTCGCACAGGTATAGTTTAGGTAACCTGAAAAGGGAAAGTCCCTTTATTCAGTGATATCATAAATGCAATGTACTATAGTAGTAGTATGCTCTCACATTTCCTCTTGTAGTCAGAATCAATTCAAAATAATACAATATATTTCAAGTGAATAAAACAAGTAGATTCTAATAAAAATTATACAATTTTGGAGGTTAAGACAGTTATAAAGGATTTGATTTTAAAATTAAAATATTTAATTTTTTTTTTTTCTTAATGTATTATTTTTTCATTTGATCCACTTTGATTATATGTTAAAAGCGTATATTTTCTAATAATTAAGTTATGGGTAGAGGCGTTTTACAGGCTGATTATGCATACACTGTTTTCAATATTATGAATTCTCTAGAAAAGTGGTGGATTTCATGTAAAATAAAACATATTTATTATCACACTGTCATTAAAATGGATTTTAAAGACTACTTACCTAGCATACTCTTGAGGATAGGGTGATGTATACCAAGTGTTAATCTCATATTTACCAAACTCAATGTACTGAGGTGAACGACTTTGCTGCTCCACCATCTGCCCTTCACTCCCTCCAGAAGTCTGTACAACAAAACATATCAGAATTAATAGAAATCTTAGAATAATAGAAATGTTAAGATATAGTGCTATGATAAATTTTACAAACAAAATATTTTTTAAGTAAAAATTGTAAACGTTGCTTACAATTGGAAACAAAGCAAATAGATAAACAGGAAAAACAAATAAAATAAAATTATAAAAAATGTAAAATATTGTATTAATGTATAAATAAATACATAAAAAAATATTTTTAAAAAACTGGAAACCTCTTTATAGTCTTTAAACAAGGAAACCTCTTTACTTCCAAGTTAAAGTAGAGTACTACGTCGATGATGTCACAACACCCATGTGACACCCCTTCGTTATTGAGCATTGCTACCCAGCAGGTCAACAGCCGACTGGCTGCTTCTTACACAAGCTACAGTTTACATAGCTTCATCAGCTAACACAGTTTTCAAACTTTATTTTTTAACAGTGTATATTTATCTGTGTTATAAACTTATATTGACAATTAAACTGGTACTTATTAGGTTCTGGTGCATTATTTGAAAAAGCTATAAAAATGTCTTTGTAGAAGTTGCTCAGAAACAAAGAACTATTACATGGTACCACGAAATAAATGTCTGCAATATCTGGTAGAAAAAAAACTTCAACATCATAAGCCAAACTAACAATAAAATATTGCACAAAAAATGTCCTAAGTGTAACTGCTTAAATACTATATTAGTATACTACTATAAGACCTATAGATAACTAAATGTTACAACATTTTAAAAAGTTGTCTTTGTTACAGTGCATGTAGTAGCATGTTGTACGCTGGTGAAATATTATTGTTAGTATTTCAGCCTGCACACCAAGGGCTTAGCCAGCGAGGACAGCCTATTTCTTCTTTCTCACTAAAATTTCCTGGCTAAGTCCCTGCTGCACATAGTTTAACCATTTAAAATAACTGAGCTGTTCTCCAGTTGACATTGGCAATAATATGATAATAAATGGAGTACATTTAGCGACCATTATTATGTAATAGCCTAAAAATTCCAAGGTTCATGATTAAATTAAGCAGCATTTTAATTCTTGAGCCTTTGAACACATTTGAGAGTCATTATGTAATAGACGAATAATTCCAAGGTTCAAGATAAAATTAATCAGCTTCAGCTCTTGTTGCTCAGTAACTTTGAGGCATGTAACTGATATTTAAAATGCACTAATTCAAATTTTTATCAAAGGCACAGTGGACTAGATGTTACACTTTTCAATAACTTTGTCCCCTCTTGAGGGTCACTTCATGTGAACTGCAGCCAGTAAACCAGCAAACTTTCATCTGTTTACGACATGGGCCGAGTGGACCACTACACCGGGGTAACCCCCTACTCGTTTAAAAAGATGTACTGGGTTTCTTAAAGTGCACATGAGCATTTGTGTACACTGGGCCTACGGTTTATAGTCCTTATCCGAGAAGACTTGTTCCACCACCAGAACTAGGAGCGAGCCGGCCGGCATAACATGAATAGTATTATCACTTTACACTACACTAAAATATACAGACACTAAAAACATTAAGTTCTATAACAGGGTGCTTGATGAATTTTAACATTCTATTAAAAAATAATGACAAATATTACAAAAACTAGGAATAAATTTACATCCTGAACTGTGTAAAAATAAGTTATAATATTGATTCTACAAGACAAAAGAAAACATGTACCTTTATATACATCAGGATACAAAGGATCAAAAGACAATAATTCAAAATGTGGCATTCAAAAACCAGGCATTTTCCCCTGCTTATTATTGAAACAGTTTGTATAAATTTATATATACTATGCCAACAAAATAATTTTCTCTTTGATGACCTATATTGGTTTAGCAATATTTATTCACTGATGCTGCCAGCTAAAAAACATATGTTTACATGCAAACATTATATTCATATATTTTTATAACCACCATTATCTTTTTATCTTAGTGGAGTCTTTTAAGGAATAACTTTATATTGTTCAGTTTTTATGATGTTTTATTAAAATTTATATATCAATCTTATATAACACTACTTTTTTCAAAAAATGTTTTATATTTTTTATTTTTCCTATGTTTTAATGAAATGATCAAATATTAAAAATCACATTCAATCAATAAGTCCAAGTTCTTTTGTTATTTGCTGTATTGTTGTACACCCAGTGTACACCTGGTCTGGCCAGCTGAAACACAAGAGGATTATGAAAAGTAACAGCATAAAACCAAGTAAATCTGCTCTCCAGTCAATATTATACGTAAGCTGCCCTTTGAATACAAAATAGCAAACAAGCCAACAACTGAAACTTAAAACCTCAGCTACCCATAATTTCATTACAGGAGACTCAAAAATAATACAGACAATAGACGCCAAGTACCAGCAACTTATTCACATGCAATGGTAGTTATGAATTCTGCCAAATTTAGAGTGTTTACTCTTGGACCCAACAATGATGTTGCAGGGTAAAATTTTACTACAAGAAACAGATAGGCCTACACTATAAAGCCACTGCATTGCGAGTAATTTGTTTTCAAATAGCATACTTTTAATAAATAATTTATCTTTTCTTTTTGTTGGTACTTTTAAAGAATGATTACATACTACATATTACTATTAAAGATTATACATTTTTAATTCGGACTCGGCTCTTATTTGGCCGACCTTCCCTTGACAACCTAAACTTTTATTACTATGTATGATTGTATTTATTAAATATTCCATTATTTGTGGTAAGTAATTAAAACTCAAAATCAAACATATTTTGATTCATCTAAAGTGAGAACATAAAAGTTTTGGTAAAATCATGAATACATTAAACATATTTGGTGAGGAAATATGCTTACTGGACAATAAAATAGCAATAAAATATTTTTTAAATGACAAATGTAATTCAACCATCTCATGTTAAAGGTTGATTTCATTGCATTTATAAATATGATTGGATTTTATTCATAGAGCCTCATGTTCAAACAACCTTGAGGCCTTCAAATCACATGATAATAAACTTTGTATAGAGAAATTCCTACATCAGTTATAGTGTAATTTTACACCCACTTACCAAAGGTCATTGTGGTCTCTGTTACAAAATTATATATTTTAAATGAAATCATTCCTATGGAGCACTGAATCAATTATAATATAAAGAATCTTAGAAAAAAAAGAGACAAAATTGAAAAGGCCATCAAGCCTGCGGATCTATCCTGTTGTTAATCCGTAGCCAGCATGTTTATATATTTTTCAACACTGTTTTGGGTGGGTGATTTATCCGGCTTGAAATCGATCATTTGAGACATTCAATACACAAAACAAGATGAAACAGTAATACACAAACCATTTATGTTAATTAATAACAATGATGTTTTTAAAATTTAAATTTAGAGTATATTCACATAGAACTTCTAATTCATAATACCAGTATTTACATTATTAAAGCATTTATTTTTTAACAATATTTGTAATGTATCGTTATAAACAATATTTGTAATGTAGCACATTTGTCTTCCAACCATTTAATTCCCTGCCTGATAAAAGTCAAAATGTATTTATAGAAACACACAAGTATAAGTCTTCTAATTCCAACATCTGAACGGAACAGCATCATTTACAAGAGTAAGCAATTATGATTGATGGGGGAGTAAGTACGACAAATGGTAGAGTAGAAATGATATAACCAGCTAAAGATCATTTCATAAATTATTTAAAGAGACTTTTGATCAGCAGATAAAGTATCAATAAAATCCACAAGAATTTGCTGTATCAACAAAATATTTTTGAGTTTATATGATAAAAACAAATGTTGAAAAAAATAATAACAGCTCATTTTAACAACTTAAATGATATTATTATGAGATGAATATAATTTCATTACAGTGATTTTTAATGTTTATAAATTTTAACCAGTGTATATCTTTTACATATTTTATATTGAATTTTATGTTTTATGGTTTCTTTTTGGACATCTATATGTTGAATTAGAAATAATTAAATAGGTGAATAAATAAATAAATAAATAAATTTTTTTTTTAACCCGAGGTTAATCATTTGAATCACTTGATAACTATTCGTAATAATAACAACACTAATTATGTGTCTTGCTCTTACGGGCATATCACTAAAGGCCTGAAGGTGCTTCACATAATTACCCCAGTTTGAAACAATGCCTATGCTATGCATACTCATCTCCATGGGGAATTTACCATAATGTTGCTGCCAGTAATCAAAACACTGACATTTAAACCTATGACTAGGTAGCGAATTTAAAGTCAGACTGCGGAGGGAAAAAAATTCTTGATATGTTGTAGTCTGATTTTTCTAAGACAAAAAAATGTTGTTTGACGAAGAACTGGGGAACGGTGAATGAGATACAGATTGTTACACCTAAAGCCCTGTCCAGTGTACCAAATTTTATTTGAAAAAAACATGTGACATGCCTTAATATGGTCATGATGACATCACATCATCACCTTATATAGGCATGTCTATATATGGGCATACAACAGTTCTTTTGTTGAAGCAATTGTGATATCCGGACAGCGCTTTATAGATTAAGAGGCAAAAACAGATTTTATGTTAACAAGTCTCCCACTATACAACATTTCCTTTTATCATTTTTTAAATATTGCATTATCTATTACATTATTTCTCAGAGGTTTGTAAGTGCATAGGCCTTAGGAGAATATTGAGGAAATTAGACCTTCACTTACACGACAGCACAAAATATATGATAGGGGATGGTGTCAGTAGGTTATTATGTAGCCTATGTTTTCAGGGGGGGATATGATTTTAAAAAACATGTTTTTGCACTCCTGAAAATGATTTTTTTCTAAATGGATGATCCAAGATTTTCTCATTTACAACATATTTTGTAAAGGTATTAACATAATCATACAATTTTATATAGACTGACAGAAACTCTCACCATTCACCTAAGAAATCCTTCAACCTCACTAGATTCAGATACAAGGTTCACCATTTGAAGACAATTTATGAAATGGTATTATCTCATTAG